ACGTTTCGCCACGTAGGCTTCCTCATCATCATCAGTACCATCATCATTATCATCATCATTATCATCAACAACAACAACAGAACTTTGTGAATGAAGAGCTCAACCCACATTGCCGAAGATGCAACTTTGAAAAGGAGCATGCCAAACATATGTTTGAGTGTCCATGAACAATGACAACTCGAATTGAGTTGTTTTGACGAATGGAAGTGCTTCTGAGTATAATGACAAAAGAGCCTCGAAGATTTCTTCGTAGAGTCCACCAGCCCATTAAGGAAACAAAAAAAAGTATAATCATCTTCATCATAAATCATCATTGTTTGGAAAGTAGAGTAGGGGACCTGGACTTAACATAGCGTGAGCGCATTAGTGCTTTGTTTTTGTTAAAGAACTAATGGTTTTGTGTCGAGCACGAAACCTATTTTGAACATGGACTGTGTTAGTTAGATTTTGGACATAATAATCAGTCAGTTAGGATCGGAGACTTCGAAACTGCCCTGCTGTTGGGTGGTCTAGAGTGGAATGAACAATATCGCCCTCATGAGAATCACTGGATTGCTTGGTTTAGGGGACTACATCGTACAAGTGCTAGAACGTCATGTCTCACCCTTATTTTCGTCATGGTGTTATTCAACTACACATCTACATGCATTGCAAAGACCTATCTCACATGGTCAATGCCATTAGATAATTCTTGGAAAACCAAATCAAATCAACGTTGCAGTGGTCCAGTAAATCTATAGCCCCGATCTGAATCCAACAGGTATGTGAAGAGTGAAGTACATGTACCATTAAAAAGCAGTAGAAGAAAAGTGACTTTGCTACCGATTCTGACCCTTGTTTGCAACCCTCTTTGACATTTGGGATGAACTGACGGATAATTATGTCCAATTTTGAACAGAGTTGATGTCGAAAGGATTCATCCACTACACAAAACTAATGGCTCCTAAGCAAAATAGCAATGAGTATGGCTACATGTAATGTTAACTCCAAGCTGTCCGTGGTATGTGTGATTAATGTGTTTTCCGTTCTGTTTGAAACTATCGTGAGATAATATCAAAATATAATATTACTTATTGCAATACAAAACTGGATATGTAATGTATGTCCATTCTATCAATTTTGATGCTCCTCAAGACACGCGCGAAGACAATTTTACTTTACTTTGACTTCGTTCAATTTTGGCAAGCCCGATTTGTAAAATCAATTTTGAGGGACCATATCTCTTAACATATATGAATTATTAATGTGTCAGATGATGCAGAACTTATTCAGCTCTAAATTGGTATACTGCATGAGAAG